CCCCCCCACCATGTTTATGATTGTAGACAATTTTTATTGTTAATGTTTACATACATAAGTCGTTGCCTGGAAAACCATTTAACATCACACTCAATTGTGCGAATTTATTAAAGAGCAGACAGAGTGTGGAACACTTGTCCGTAGTAACCAATCGTCTTCTATCTTCAGTTTATACTGTAAGGCTTTAAAAATAAAATAGAATAAATTCCCCTTATTGCATATCCCCAGGCACACTATAACCTGTTGAAAGACATTTTCTGTATCACTATATTGTCCTGTTTTCCTCATGTAACTTACATGTACTCATGATGTGTCTGTAAACTGGTTTTTCTTGTTTAAAATAAAAAGTACATTATGAATCAAAAAAAAAAAGAAAAAGGGGGGGAAATCCAAAGTTTTGTCCCTAGAACAAGAATAGAGGGGAAAGTTTCCAGCAGGATCTGTTACTGTTCCAGTGACAGCTTAGAGGGGATTTCCCTCAATTTTCAGGAAGTGAAATCTCTTGAATATGAAACTGATGGGAAAAAAACAAACAAAACTCTTACAGAGATTTTAACCATTTCCTACTCTTTTTAAAAGGAAGAAGAAGGTTTTGTGAAAACTACATAAGAGATTTTTCAAGCCCATCTCCCTCAATTCTTTAGAAAAGAGAAGAAAACGCTTCTAGAATACAATGGGAAACGGACATTTACACTAGGGCCCTTAGGAATATGCAAATGTATTCTTACCTCCCCAAAATAAAGTCACCAGCAGATACCTTAGTGCACACCACTTCAGCTATAGCACGTACCTTCAGAGAGTTTAATCAGAATTTGTACAATGCCAAATCTCTCCATCCTTCCCTTCATTCAGTGACTAGAAAATCTTTGATCTCAGATTATTTGCAGAGGACCAAGCTGCCCACGTTGCCAAAGGATTGGCTTGGTGTGTTAGAATCATACGTAACAGAGGGTGAATTCTTAGGGCTCTTTCGAGTATGGCCTCAGGCAAAGCTCCAGGCCCAGATGGCACCATCTTAACGTCTTATAAAACTTTTAAGGAGTAACTTGTACCCTATATGACCAACCACTGGTAGGAAAACTTCACCCAGGCTAATATTGCAGTAATTATGAAACCAGGTAAAGTCCCAACGGCGTGTTCTAGCTACATAGACCGAGTAGACTGGGATTTTATTGAGCACTTTGCATCATTTTGGCCTGGGCCCAAGAATGCACCATCATATAGCAGCTCTCCCATGACAAAAGTGCAAGTTAATGGAGTACTAAGAGAACCTTTCACCTTACACAATGGTAGTAGGCAGGGTTGTCCTTTATCCTCCTGTTCACTATCCCTTTAGTGCCATTGTTGGATATGAACCGCAATGATTCCAACATTCATGGAGTTCACATGGTAGGTCATACTTATAAACTTCCTGCCTATGCCAATAACATATTATTTTATCTACAACATCCCCATATTTGCTTACTCAATTTGTTATTGTCTCTCTCCTCATTTAGGACACTGCAATTTTCAAATAATCTCGCAAAGTCTAAAATGTTAAATCTTACATTCTATTTGTGTGGTATCATATCTAGGTGTTTTTCTTACCCATACACTCTCATACTTCCTATAATTATCTCTCTATATTGAATAACAATGTTGGCACTCTCTCTATTATTCTTGGCTTGGGAAACTTAGTGTTGTGAAAATTAATATCTTACCCAGACTTTTCTTTTTTTCCCCCAAATGATCCCTATGGGTGTACCTTCTAGTTATTTCACTACCCATCTCTAACTGCCTAATTTTTTAACAACAACTAATTGCCTAATTTTTTAACAAGTTTTTTAATATACAAAAAGAAAAATGACAACAGTTATAAAAGGTACAAAGGACATTGTAAACAGAACATGGGAAACACATTATAATCTCAAAGGCATGCTTAAATGCAATCAGATGCATTGGAGTTATTAAGGCACTATGTGCTATACCACTTCACTAGAATGTGTACCTCTACTACTGTTTTTGAGCCAACCACAAATTACACAATAGCTGTTAATATCCCACACTATGGAACTAAAGTGCGGCATTGGATGAAATAAAAAAGCTACTATGCTCCAAGTACAAGAACTTATAACATATATCTAAAAAAGTGCACAGCGCTGATTATAAACTTGTGAACCTCGTCAAAATATATCACATACCATATACATAATAACATCAACAATTCATCATACAAAAGTTAAAATTGTGAAAATATAAATCCTTATATAAAAATCATAATTATAAAAATAGTGCCATCCAGTTCATAGTAACATCTTAGTGTCCACGCGCTCCACACATAAATTAAATGTGTCTTGTATAATCATTCCATAGTTTTCCACCACAGTAAATATCAATGCCCAGTGCTCAAAGAATATTCTAAAGATCCACAATAAACCACCGCAGGTGTCACTCTCCCCGTGAATCAACACTGCTCTGCACTCACCAGACTTTCATGACCCTCAATCTCTAGATGGTCATACAAGCATAGATATATCCAGCTCCTCCAGTTGTTCTCTCCCCATCCCAAAAGATATAGTCGATCCCTAAAAATTGTTTTGACCGATAAGTCTCCAAAACACTCTCCCCATAATTCTCCTTTAATTGTGTCATTAAAGAAATGTATTTGTGAGAAAATTATGTGGTGGTTGAGCAGGGCTCCTCCCTTCCTCCCCGTCCTGTTCAACCACCCCATAATTTTTTTCTGCTGCTAGGTGTGATATTTGTTCTTTATTGAGAGCTATGGCCAACCTTTTCTTGCCTTAATTCTCTTCAGAACTCAGCATATAGTGGGCTATTGCCTGCTATATGCTGACAGCGCAGAGCCACACTGCAGCCTGGATGGATCACGACAATATTGTTAGGTTTTACCCCGCTGCCTGATTCAAAGCTGGCTCTGCCTCTCTAGAGGCAGAGCCAGCTGTGCCCACCCCCTCCCCTGTCTGTCCCTCCAGTCAGTGCTGGAGAGGGGAGGAGAAATCCCTGCAGGAATAGGAATTTATTCAGGAACTGAGTGATCAGCAGTATGTGATCGCTCAGTTCCCGATCAACAGAGCCGACGCGTGAGAGCTTCAGTGTCACATGTCAGCTCTAATTATGCGGATAAGTGTATTTCACTCTCCCCAAAATTCTCCTTTAATTTGCATCATTGGGGAAATGAATTTGTGAGAAAATGATGGGGTGGCTGTGCAGGGCTCCTCCCTCCCTCCCCACCCTGGGCTCCTCCCTCCCTCCCCACCCTGCTCAACCATCCCATCATTTTCTTCCACTGCTCCACTTTATACACATTGAAAGACATATGGAGACAGGGGACATTGATGGAGCCTCTATCTTCTGGTGTGTAGAAAGTGAATCTGTGGAAGAGAGTAAGGCCTGGTTCACACCTTTCCGATTTGTAGCGCGTTCAACGCTCTACGAGCGCTCTACAAAATGTACAAACTTGAAAATCCCATTGTTTTCTATGGGTATGGTTCATACCTTTCCGTATTTCAGCCTGTCTGAACTCGCTACAAAACGGCCTACGCCCAAAGAAGTACATGTACTTCTTTGGGGCGTTTTGGTCTCGCGTTTCCATTGGGATACAGCCAAGTAGCCCTCGGAAACGCGCGTTTGTCACGCGTTTTTTTTTACTGCGACTCGCGCATATTCAATAGGCCTAGGTGTGAACCCAGCCTTATTAAAATACTTTGAACACTACCCATGGGGAGGACAAGAGCAGTCCATCCGGCCCTGATGTATTGGTGGACCCACATATGACCTCTACTCATGCATGTGATTATTATTATTATTATATCATTACATAGTGGATTTCCAAAAAATTTGGAAATCTCTTGTGTGTTTATGAGTCCGCCCATATAGTAACATGGAGAGTGTCCACTTTTATAAGCTTCCTGGAAACAACAGCGATTTATAGTCACTGCTCTTTTCTTGGAGCAGAGACCAAGAGCTGACTGATCAGCAACTATTTCTTGGTCTTAAGCTGGCCATAAACTGGTTGACTTTTGTCCAAATCCTCCTGACTCTGCCAAAATGTCACCAGTGTGTAGCCTGTTGGGACCCCCATTTGGTAACAATCGATTTTTCAATAGACTATTGACAAAGGAGTCAGTCCAAAAAATCTTTGAAAAACATTGAATGCAGAAAATCCGCTGCAGTCATTGTTCGGGCATTCTGACAGTGACATACCTGCCACAGTCAGAATACAATAGCCCAGAAGGAGAGATTACCCATCCACGCATCTTTGGAGCCTGCATGGGACAGCTCTAGTGTCCCACACCATCTCTAAGCACTGGGGAGAGTATGTTTTACTCTCCCAGCACAATATGTACAGTTAGAAATTGTGCCCTTTAACCCAGCACTCCTTCTTAGGCTTATACTCATCTGTCCCCGAGATATCAATGAGTAAATCACAGAGCCCCTTGTCAAAATGTTGCTGGCTGGGCTCGCGGATGTGATTTCATAATAATTTAATTTTAAAATGATTTCATTTGATTATATATATTAATTTTTTTTTTTTTATTATGCCCAGAGTGGAATTTGGGTAGCGGCGCAGTGCACAGAGTGGCCGATAGGTGGCGGCGTAGTGCACAACGTTGCTGATAGGTGGCGGCGCAGTCCGTGAAGTGACCGCTGTGTGGCGCTGCTCGGCAGCAGGACGCCCCTTTACTCCATATACGCAGAGTGCGTGCACACAGGAATGTCTTCCCCAGGAAGCAAGGCTCGATAGGAACTGTTTTACACGGTGCACCATGGCGGAGGAGGAGAAGGATCCCCTGAGTTATTTTGCAGAGTATGGCAGCTCGGACAGCAGCAGTGAGGAGGAGGACGGGGATAAGGAGGAGAGGCCGGCGGAGGAGAAGAGGCCTCCCCCCGCACGACGCCTTCCCGGGCCTGATGAGCTCTTCCAGACTGTCAGCCGCCCGGCCTTCCTCTCTACCCCTTCTAGCTCCACCATTAACTGGGAGAAGAGGCTCATCCGACCCCCTGAGGAGGTGATCTTGGGGAGGAGATGGGGGGAACTGATCAGAGAGAGGAGGTCGAGGATGAGACAGGGGGATCCTGATTAGAGATGAGGTGGGGGAGGATGGGAGTTGGGGTTATTAATCATTGAGGAAGCGGGGGATGGGATAGAGGGTTACTGATCAGGAAGTAGGTGGGGGAGGATGGGATGGGGGTAAGGA